CCCTAAAAAAAAAAAAAAAAAAAAAAAAAAACTGTCCATGTTGCGTCTTTTGACGAATTAATGTCTTTTGAACAAATGCTTGCATCTTGCTTAGAAAAAAACGAAGTAAGTAAGTTAAGTCCGCCTATCGTTATTGACGAATGCATACATTAGTCAAATGACACAACGTGGACGGTACGGGTAGGCCTAAAGTATAAAATGTTATAGTCATAATTATAAAATTTAAAATGTAACAAAGAATGGACGCCCTACGTCGCCTAGGGTTAAGCTATTTAAAGAACTTCAATCAATACAGAAACTAGGTCAAAATTGCTCGCACATTACTGATAGCCTTTTGTTTGACCTGGATGTAGCCTATCCGGTATTTTAAGGGACAAACCCTACACACAAAAGGATCATAATATGATCCTTATGGCTAAGGGAGTAAGAATGATTTTGTGACTATTATGTGGCCGGTTTTACAATGAAATACGCCAGACGTCATTGTAAACAAGTCGGTTTCGTCTTTTGTTACAAACAGCTGTGCAAAAACGTAGGTTGGACAATTTGGATTTTGGATAGTGTAGGTAATACTATAAAAGACTTCTAAGATAGGGTAAATATCTTGTGGATATTTGTTTCTTCTTAATTACTTCTTTAGAAATCAAATTGAGTAGATAGATATAGTAGATACCTAACATTATTTTCAGGCTATCCAATGGTCCAGAAGCCAGAACCTAAGTCCTGTCTCTTCTACAATTCTAATAGAGAATACAATTTTGTTAAAAATATAAAATACCTACTAAAATAAATAATGAATTAAAATTAGTCGGTGATAATATAAAAAGCTGAACAAATTACTTAGCTGGTTGATGTTTGCGAATTTTAATTCGAAAACTCGTTCCAAAGAGGTCGGTATAATCCTAGACTGAAGCTAGACTCTTACTTTCCCTATTATTCTTACACCTGCATCATACATACTCACTCAGAATCCCACATCTCTACAATAAATTGAACTATTAAGTATGGAATTCCATGGTCATTATGGCACGGCCCCGAGCATAAAGGGACGAGATAGTGTTGCAACAAACAATATTTAAACTCCCCTGGTTTTATCGCAATTTAAAATTTTTATTAAATCATTTTTATTTGCATTATTTTTAATCGTTAAGTGAGGTGAGTGACCAGCCTTGACGGGTTTTAGATGGGAATTGTAAAATGTCAGTCTTGAAAACGATGAATAAAGATTATTGTTATGTTTTTGCAGTTCATTTGAATAATTTATTATCTTGTTCTATCTAAGTAATAGGTACCTATTATGTAGTAGATATAGATACTTCTTTCTTTTATCTAATAGTAATAAGATAATAATAATTTCTAATAATAACAAAATGCTGTGTAAGTCTCATGACATAGTCGTAGGTCCGACGTCCGATAAAACTTGTTTCTGTTTCTACTAAGATTTTTCGATAGCAAATTTTATTAGGTACTTAATTAGTTGGAGATAAAAATAATTATAATTGAATAAGGATAGTTGTAGTACATTTCTATTTAAATAGTTAAATTAACTTAAGATAGAATATAATGATGAATCTCCTCTCAAGAACAATTAGAAAGGTATTCAATACATTCAACAGATACGTGCATCCCTTTCCAACTATGCTTGAGTCGAGATCTCCGCTTGAGTATCGTTCTGTAATACGGGCCTAAGTGCGCACCATCACATCAGCTAAACCATCTTTCACTGGCCCAAAGGCCTCATCGTGTGAATTACGGAGAAAGAATGGGTGGTTACTTGTTTCAGGCTACCTATTTCAGATTAAAAGTTTACTTTAGGTTTTCTTTCACTGTTATATGAATGGTGTCTAAAAAGGCTAAAAGAAAACATTGTCATTTAACTATCATAATCTAAAAGTTATTTTTAATTTAACGTCTCGATAAACGGTTTATAAGTTTTTATCATTTAATTATGAATTTCTTAAACAAGAAACTGTTACCCACTTATTAGTGGAGAATCTACCGTGTTGGCAACACCATAACTGAGGGTAAACGCGCCGGGTTCCCGCGATCGCCACACGTTCAGTCAGTCCGGCTTCGCGCGCGTAACAGCCGAGATTCATCGCGTCCGACGCTCTAATAGAAAAAAAAAACAATAAAAAAATAAAACCATTGATTTATCTGTATCATTTTGGCGATAACGTAGCCATTAGTGATGTTCGCGTTAAAATAAAAAAAGAAGTGTTAGAATAATGCTTTACAACGATGATTCTAAGATCAAATAGTGATAAGGGTGTTTTATTTATTCAATACGTAGTAATTTGTGTGTAAGAGATGCAATATCAAAGTAATGACGACGACTTACAATATCGGATTTTTGGCGAATCCTTCAACTTTCCCATCGAGAACAAAACTATCGGAGGCCGGCGTAGAAAGTAAGTTTTACTTTTTTAATTGTTTTTTTTTATGTTTTGGTATGAATTCATACGGCCAGAGAGTATCCTTAGACCTTACTTCATACCTTTTTGCATTTCGGCTGGGGTATGCGCCTAAAAACCTGTTTCGCGTGAATGTCAGTGGATATTTACGCGAGCTAACCATATGATCTGCATAAACAGACTTGTCTGGACGATACGACATTCTTTTGTATATACCTAATACATTATATCTGCGAGATGTGACTCGTAAGTATTTTTTTGTAAATACGAAGTTGTTAACAAGCGAGAATTATTTAGATAGTAAGTAGGTATTTCACTATTTACTTGATAACAATAAATTGATTAGGTTTGTCACTGACCTTTGTGGTCTAATAGGATTTCTTCTATTTATCCTAGCCAGAAAGATCTTTTTTATATCGGGGGCATGGCCAACCTTCAAAGGCTTTTGAGGAGGAGACTACCTAGTATGAAACTAAGTAGGTACTTATGTACCTGTGTGGGATTGTACCCCACTAAAACCGCATGCATTCTAGTGATCATTAACACTAACCTAGGTATAAGAGGCATTATATAACCTAGGTACACATAGGTTCTTGAGTCCACATAGACCTACCAAATAGCAAGAGGTTATAAAGAAAAATCCTTTAGGTCTCTATTATTAACATGGGTAAAACGCTTTTGTTTAACTATGTCTTGTCCATCAACTGCCGAGTACGAGGCCATTGCATTGATACTACCTAACCTACTTATAATCACCTACCTAACTAATTCGTTAGATCCGGGCCAGGTCACCTTTTTCTTGTCTTGGCCTTTTTCTGAAAGTAACTAGATACCTAGATAGTCTTAGGAGGACTAAAACATCTTTTGATGTATGGAGTTCGCCATCACATATCCCGATTGCGCCCAAAAGGGCGGTCTTTATTCATAACAACCTTTTGCTTTAAAATATTCTCAAGCACGCAAATACCGAAGCTATTTGCAAATTCAATTCACCTAGGACCACGGCCTAGGTTATTCGATACGCCTACTAAACTGCTCTAGCCTTAAGCTCAAGTCACATTGTTTAAAAGGTTCTATTTGTAGACGTTTCAACATTACCGTGTATGGGAAATATTAATAGCGCCGTAAAGGCAATGAAAAGTGTAAACTGTAAAAGATTTATGTTTCACACTTATGATTTGAACTAATATTAGTACGGGGCGACTAGGTTTGGTTGTCACAGAGGTCATAATAGCTTAACAAAGGAAAAACGAACATTAATCGGAGTGAATCGGCATCAAGTCAAAAAGAGGTGCAGAATACCTAATGATAACTCCGACGCGATTCTTTGCCGCCGATCGATTACCTATCGATAACTGCTGAGACAATTAACTTCGGTTTCTATTAGCTACTTGATGTAGTTTAATTTTCTTTGACAGCAGAGAATTGGATAGAGGAATGCAATATTAAGTGTCATCATACCAGGTTTTGCACCATCCATCACTAATCTCATACATCCTTGCAATACCTATTTTACTACGCCAACCATCGATACGAAGTATAGCTAAATCGATTTGGCTGAAAATTGGTGGAGGCTTAGAACCAGGAGACAGAAAATAGGATACTTTTTATCCAAGTAAATACTAGACGGGAACGGTAAAAAATTGGGTTGTGCGTATGAAATCGCGGGCAGAAACTAGCTTTTAAAATAATTACTATAAAGAAAAACTGCGTTTTCCTCGTGATAGATAATCTCGAACCTTCAATTTGTCTATTAAAAGCCTTTTATTGAATAATAAAATGGAATTCAACGCGTAAAGATCAAACGTGTTCGGTTCATTCGTACCTACGTATGTAGATATACGTATTATACATAGTAAACCCGCTAAGTACGCATGTACGGAGTCTGATGAGGTTGAGGAAGTAGATATAGGTAGCCATATAATATACCTTTATAGTGATTGTATCTTTAAGGCATTGGCTGCCAATAAAAAACTATTGAAGGCAAATCCTCCGCTAATGTCGGTCACCAGTGACTGCCATGGCGTTTAACGTGTTAAACTTGAACTATCATATAACTATTTTCCTTCCCTTTTTTGAAGGCAACGAAGTGAGTTAGTTTATTGTTAATTATCATATCTAATCTAAAGCAATATTTTCGAACTTTAAGTTAATCAGGTACTGTTTTACGCTAGAATCGCTATATCGATTTTGATGAAATAGAGTTTTTATTTACGAAAATAAGGTTGCGAAGTCGCTTGACAAAATATTACGCTAGTCACGTCTCGAGTAAAATCTAAGAGGGACTACAAAATAAAATACCTCTCGCCGAATACCCACAATCTAAACAAAAACCCAAACTTGTTCTCAAAAGTATTTTTATCCAACAATTTTTATTAATCACTCGTTTTATTGTTATTAATGTTAATGAAATGAAGATGTCAGATGTTAAAAAAGGTAAAACAAGAATATGATACGGTCTCGTCGCAAAAAGGTACTTATGAATTGATGGAAATATAAATAACAATTAACGTTTAATGAAGGTACATCTCGCACCGTAGCCGGAGGAAAAATTAGAAGCTCATACATTAAACTCTTTAATGATTCTTTCACATTGATCATAAGTATTCGAGCTTTGGCCCAAAGAAATTTATCGCCTATAAAAACCTCTTCTACCTAAATAGATTCTCCCAAGATATAAGTTTATGACTAACTGTAATTGATTCCGTTAGAGAAAATCCCGTGCCATCCTGTTGAAAAGGTTGGATAACTGCAAATAAGTGTTTAATAAATCAATACAACTATAAACATTTTATTGACACATCAAGGCATCATTGATGAAGCCTTTATAAATTGAACTTCTCATTAGTCCAAATGTGAAAAGAATTAGAGATCCTAAAGTAAAAACTACTCAATCCAGGAATTATATTGGCTTATTTGTCGCGCTGAGGACCACGCGGAACGAAGCAACCACGTGATATTAAGCTACCTATGTTAAACCGAGACCTTGATTACAATCACAGTGGACTTAAGGCGGTATTTGTATGCCGTAACTAAGAGGAAGCAAGCTTGTTAAACCTCCTTGAACTTTGTGACCTCGCAAATTTTTAGGCTGGGGCCCAAAGTTGTTTGAGACATCCCAATTAGTGCCCATTGATGATGTGGATCAAGTAGGCCATGATAAAAGAGCTGCTAAAGCAAGAGTTGATTCCGAAGAGCACAGAAACGTCTGAGGTATTAAATTAGACCAAAATCGTCGTGTGGATAACAAAGAGTAAAACATATTTATTAAGGGAACAACTCGATTCTCTAAGAAAGATTTTATCTAAATGCTCTTAGGAGACCAAGGTCATTTTTTTGTGTAACCGGTTGGAATTTAAAAAAGTCTTTATCAGCTGGGATATTTACTTGTAAGTCGGAAAGAGCACCGATGTGATAAATTTAGAAACTGACAAATTTTGAACAGAAAATAAAATGAGATGTCACGAATTATTTTGCCATTTAAAGTCCTAAATCATAAGAGGTGTGACCGAAGATGATAATACTATATAGAAAAGGAAGCGATCATTTACAAAGTCAAGCTACATACGAATAAAATTTAAATATTTAAGTTGGTTACGACTTGACTAGCAAATGGTCCGGATAATCCTGCGTGCTTTCGGGGACCTTGAGATGTAGCCAAGGTCTCACGTAGCTTTTCGAGATGCCTTCGCAAAGCGTGGGCTGTGTAACTAGTTGGGTGGTGTACTCGTTGAATGAAGTCATAGTCTACTCCATTCAAAATTTTCGTACCTACCATTAGCGACCTTGTTAGGTTATTGTTTTAGAGACCCTGAGCAATAAATTATTCTGGATGGATTCTAAGGATGTTGTCATAGACATTTTTTTTTGCATGTTGCAAATATTTCGGTGTTTTAACAATGCTTGTTTTGTACTATGCTAATGATTGATTAAAGAATTAATGTTGTGTACCGAAATATGTGTATATATATAAGAATTTTACTATTGACTTCGAAGAAATATGAAGTTTGAGAAGGTTTCACTACTGTTGCATAATCCAAGTAATTTTTCTCACATACTTTTCGTGTCTATTACGTAGTTAAACAGTTCACGTTTCAATTGTAATACTCAATCTATGGTTATCATAATTGTAATGGATTACTTGTTGTTTAATTTGTAGGACCTCTAATCTCACCTCTCACCTTGCATTACAATTTTTAAGAGGGTCGAACTCGAAAATTCTTCCACGGTCTACCTCTTTGTCTCCCGTGGGAGTCTAAATATCAAACAATGAAGCCTGGTGCATTGACCATGGTGCAACCCCTCTGTACTGAGGTAAACGACCATTGTACTGAGGGTGGCACCCCCAAAGAGCCGATGGCCTTAATTGCCTCACGTGCATCGCGGCAGATGGCTAGCAAGGTGCGAGTTAGTGAAGTCCCTCCTTTATCGATAAAATGCGCTTGCGACTGGTCTTTTTATTTTGTACAATTTCTTTATTTGCTTTCTGGTTAGTTGGTAGTTCGAATTTTATTATTTTTTATTTTATGATTTGTGCATTGCGTACTTTGGTGTTTTTGAAGTGGTAAGGACATTAAAAAATAGATTTGTACCGACCAATAGTAACAGACGTCGCTTTTCTATGTCGTTTCATGTTATTAATTTTATTCGAGTCTTTTTTTACTTATTCTTATGTGTTACATAAATAACATGAATTTGGTGCTTAACTTAGTTAATTTATACTTTAAATGACTTCTTAAACTTCGTAAACTATAAAAAATTCTTAACTATTATTTTTTATCTTAACACATACCTATTTGTTAAACAATTTGCTTACAAAATAATAAAAACAGACTTGCTTTCCGCGTTCTGTATATCTGTGTATTTCATCAATAAAATATCGATAAGTGAATTGTCCAGCCGTATCTAACGCGCCTTTCCTATGAATACCAAAGTAATTGGGGTGACTGTAGGACTTGACTTTCACACGATTGCAACTGCACCTAATGCTAGAACAT